ACCTTTGGTCTCTATACAGACCAATTGGTCTATATATAAAGACCTTTGGTCTCTATACAGACCAATTGACCAATTGGTCTATATAAAGACCTTTGGTCTCTATACAGACCAATTGGTCTATATAAAGACCTTTGGTCTCTATACAGACCAATTGGTCTATATAAAGACCTTTGGTCTCTATACAGCCCAATTGGTCTATATAAAGACCTTTGGTCTCTATACAGCCCAATTGGTCTATATAAAGACCTTTGGTCTCTATACAGCCCAATTGGTCTATATAAAGACCTTTGGTCTCTATACAGCCCAATTAGTCTATATAAAGGCCTTTGGTCTCTATACATCCCAATTGGTCTATATAAACACCTTTGGTCTCTCTATACAGCCCAATTGGTCTATATAAAGACCTTTGGTCTCTATACAGACCAATTGGTCTATATAAAGACCTTTGGTCTCTATACAGACCAATTGGTCTATATAAAGACCTTTGGTCTCTATACAGACCAATTGGTCTATATAAAGACCAATTGGTCTATATAAAGACCTTTGGTCTCTATACAGACCAATTGGTATATATAAAGACCTTTGGTCTCTATACAGACCAATTGGTCTATATAAAGACCTTTGGTCTCTATACAGACCAATTGGTCTATATAAAGACCTTTGGTCTCTATACAGACCAATTGGTCTATATAAAGACCTTTGGTCTCTATACAGACCAATTGGTCTATATAAAGACCTTTGGTCTCTATACAGACCAATTGGTCTATATAAAGACCTTTGGTCTCTATACAGACCAATTGGTCTATATAAAGACCTTTGGTCTCTATACAGACCAATTGGTCTATATAAAGACCTTTGGTCTCTATACAGACCAATTGGTCTATATAAAGACCTTTGGTCTCTATACAGACCAATTGGTCTATATAAAGACCTTTGGTCTCTATACAGACCAATTGGTCTATATAAAGACCTTTGGTCTCTATACAGACCAATTGGTCTATATAAAGACCTTTGGTCTCTATACAGACCAATTGGTCTATATAAAGACCTTTGGTCTCTATACAGACCAATTGGTCTATATAAAGACCTTTGGTCTCTATACAGACCAATTGGTCTATATAAAGACCTTTGGTCTCTATACAGACCAATTGGTCTATATAAAGACCTTTGGTCTCTATACAGACCAATTGGTCTATATAAAGACCTTTGGTCTCTATACAGACCAATTGGTCTATATAAAGACCTTTGGTCTCTATACAGACCAATTGGTCTATATAAAGACCTTTGGTCTCTATACAGACCAATTGGTCTATATAAAGACCTTTGGTCTCTATACAGACCAATTGGTCTATATAAAGACCTTTGGTCTCTATACAGACCAATTGGTCTATATAAAGACCTTTGGTCTCTATACAGACCAATTGGTCTATATAAAGACCTTTGGTCTCTATACAGACCAATTGGTCTATATAAAGACCTTTGGTCTCTATACAGACCAATTGGTCTATATAAAGACCTTTGGTCTCTATACAGACCAATTGGTCTATATAAAGACCTTTGGTCTCTATACAGACCAATTGGTCTATATAAAGACCTTTGGTCTCTATACAGACCAATTGGTCTATATAAAGACCTTTGGTCTCTATACAGACCAATTGGTCTATATAAAGACCTTTGGTCTCTATACAGACCAATTGGTCTATATAAAGACCTTTGGTCTCTATACAGACCAATTGGTCTATATAAAGACCTTTGGTCTCTATACAGACCAATTGGTCTATATAAAGACCTTTGGTCTCTATACAGACCAATTGGTCTATATAAAGACCTTTGGTCTCTATACAGACCAATTGGTCTATATAAATACATTTGGTCTCTATACGGACCAAAGGTCTTTGGATTCCATTCAGACCTACAAACTTGACATTCACGTGAAACATAACAGTGTCAATGAATGATCTACACCCTCTCCAAGGATTTAAATGGGCGATTACAAAAAATTAGGTCATGAGTGCATTTTGTGGTTTATCTTTGTAACCTATAGATTCTAAATTATTTTTTATTTATTGTGCGTGTGTTTTTTGTAATTTCATTTGTGTGCCATAAGTCCGTTTTTTTTTTGTTTTTAATATTTTTAATTGTCGTTTTTGTCCCCTCTCCATTTAATATCTAATTAAAATTTTAAATTATTAGATGTTGTCCATGTGGTGTGTGTTATTAGTGTTGTTATACACTGAATATTAAACAGACGAACGGCGAACCATAATGTGGCCAGTGTGTGCATATTTGTCTTCGACCAAGAAGTACAAAACCAATTTCATATACACCAAAGAAAAAACTGACTTGACATTTTCTAATTACATAACATTTATCATCAATTATTGCTGACACGCAAACTCTGTGTTTTCGATGTTGTTTTTTGTGTTTTTTTTTTTCTTTACTTATTTGTGTTTCGCCTCCTTCTGTTGTCTTCATATGTTTTATTTTTTTTTGGATTGTCGGTTTGGTCTTTCTGGGTGTATATTTTCTATGTTAATTTGTGTTGTATTCCTTTCCTGAAACCAAAAAAAATTAAATAACAACTTTTTAACAAACAAATGACGTGTTGAGTTCTTCTGTTGTGTTTATGTGTGTGAGTTTTTTTTTAGTTCGGTTCTGTTAAATTTTATTAATATTTTTCAATTATGACTATTGTTATAATTTATGACCATAATGCTGTTCACTAGATGGTACTAACAAACTTCTTGCTTATACGAAATGTTCAGTTGGGTGTGTGTGTTGTGTGACAGTACTCTGACAAATAAAAGAATTGTAAATAGAAAAATATGCAAAAATCGTCTTTATTATAAAATAATATTTAATATTCAATAAAATGCGTATTGAAATGCTAAAATTCCAAGTCTATAAAAATTCGGTATAACTTTTACTTCTATAAATTTTATATCGATTTTCCGGGATTTCCAGTATTGGAATTCTTGTATTAGACTTATGTAATATTTTTTATCTAGACGACCTGTAACAGGTCTTCTATTACTGACAAAATAAATGTAAAAATATATCTTTTCCACAAAATTATATTAATGACAAAACAAATGTAAAAATATATGTATATACAAGACGAAACTATTACTGCCAGTTCTGGCATTGCTGTTGTACTCGTTCTATCTCTCTCTCTCTTGTTCTGGAGAAACCTCTAGCCAAAAACACATTTCTGTCCGTGCAGTTAAATAGCTGAAAATTGTTTAAATATGAAATGAAACACTCATCAAATGTCAGGTTTTGTGACAGTTTTTGATGTCATATGCACAGGTAGGTAGGACAGAATAAAGGTTTTCATTTGTATCGTGTCATAAATTATTATGAAACCAAACGTATGCCATCATAAAGGTATGATGGTAACATGCAAATGATTATCATTTGTCGGAACTTGGAGAGGGTGAACGCATGCCCGTGGAAGTCTTTCTTTACATTGACAATTAGTGTTGTATACAGTGTACTATTATCCATTGTAAAGAGTTCTAGCTTCAATGGAAATCCTATGGAAGTAAGAAGGAATATAGAGACCACATGTCTTTATATAGACCAATTGGTCTATATAGAGACCACAGGTCTTTATAAAGACCAATTGGTCTGTATAGAGATCACAGGTCTTTATAAAGACCAATTGGTCTGCATAGAGACCACAGGTCTTTATAAAGACCAATTGGTCTGCATAGAGACCACAGGTCTTTATAAAGACCAATTGGTCTGCATAGAGACCACAGGTCTTTATAAAGACCAATTGGTCTGCATAGAGACCACAGGTCTTTATAACGACAGGTCTTTATAAAGACCAATTGGTCTGTATAGAGACGGCAGGACTTTATAAAGACCAATTGGTCTGTATAGAGAAGACAGGTTTTTATAAAGACCAATTGGTCTGTATAGAGACCACAGGTCTTTATAAAGACAATTGGTCTGTATAGAGAAGACAGGTCTTTATAAAGACCAATTGGTCTGTATAGAGACCACAGGTCTTTATAAAGGCCAATTGATCTGTATAGAGACAACAGGTTTTTATAAAGACCAATTGGTCTGTATAGAGACGACAGGTCTTTATAAAGACCAATTTACATTTATAAAGGCATGTGGTCAGTATACAAATCAATCGGTTTTTAATAACATCTATGGTCTCAATACAGACCACTCGGTATTTATAAAGACTGGTGATCTCTATATAGACCAAATGGTCTTTATGAAGACCTAAGGACTCTACACAGGCTAAGTGGTCTTTATAATGACCTGTGGTCTCTCAGACCAATTGGCGAAACATTGGATATTTTTGAGGATAGCAGTTTTCATAACCTAACCATTATCGTGGTCGAAGACTGGTGATCTCTATATAGACAACGTGGTCTTTATGAAGACCTAAGGGCTCTACACAGGCCAATTACCCGTGATCTCTCTCAGACCAATTGGTGAAACATTGGACATTTTTGAGGATAACCATTATCGAAATTTCTATATTATAGCGACTATTTAGGTACTAATTTTTAGAAACTAAAACCTAAAAAAACATTTCATTCTCAAATGCATAACACAACACTATACACCAACTTAATGAGTCCAGATCAAATACACTTATTTGAGTAGATTTATTAATTTTCAATGCTAAACACCACGACCTATTTTTCGACACTGCGTACTATTTATTACTTTTAAAACGAATTGTCAAAAAATAATAAGAAAGGGACTGTAATACACAATTTTAAGGTTCCAGCTCTATTTTTACCAGTTCAAATGGCACTTTTGGTATGAATTTCAGAATCATTTTTTTCCAAACACTACACATGATCCCTTGAATCTTTTCATGTTATCTACTAAAAACTGTTAAATTTGGTTTACAAAAAGATTTACTTTGTTTTTTTTTCTTCTTCTTTTATTTTCAGATTAAGGCTTTTCACATCCCACATCGTATTGATCTTCCGTAAACGCGTCGGACCAAAACCACATCTATTAACATGGCATTGTCATTTGATGCTGCTGCCAGCGAGGGACCCGGCTATGTTGGTATTCGTTTCTGTCAAGAATGCAACAACATGTTGTACCCGAAAGAAGACAAGGAAAATAAAATTCTGATGTATGCCTGTCGTAATTGTGACTATCGTCAGGAAGCGGATTCCAATTGTATTTATGTGAACAAAATTATGCACGAAATTGATGAATTGACACACATATGTCCGGATGTCATATCCGACCCTACATTGCCACGCACCGAAGATCATGAATGTCCCAAATGTGGTCATCGTGAATCGGTATTTTTCCAGGCTCAAACACGACGTGCTGAAGAAGAAATGAGATTGTATTATGTCTGTACCAATCAAAATTGTACTCACCGCTGGACTGAATAAATGTCATTCCTTGGAATTTACGATTGGTGTCGTGGCATTGACATCTGCATTAATTCGAAATGGTGTGTTCGTCATACATCATGAAAGAGCCTCTTCATTCTATAATTAAAAAATAAATAATAAACTGAAAAAACATAACTAAAAATAAATTTAAAGATGAACTTTTAAAAATACATAACATGCGGTTTTATTTAAATGAAATTGAGAATATTAGAATGCGTCATAATTTGGTGGCTATTAAAAAATCATGTCGGCCTTATAGACCCCATCTTTGGATTTGAAAGTAGGTTTGGTTATTCTATTCGCTGCATATGAAATTTAGAGGTCTATAAAATGTTGGGGAGGTACCGGAAGGAGAGGTCCCACCTTCGAAAGATATTTGTCGAAATATATACGATGTCCTTGACCATAACCGGAACCTCATAGAAAATTTCAAAGCGATCAGCGCTTTATTTTCGCCCTACAGTGTGGTGATGGATTACTAAATAATATTTGAACACGTAAGCACCTGTAAATATTTAAGTGTAACACCCACATCCGAGCACATACGACAATATAATTGGCATGTATCGGTTTACAAAATATAATGGACAGACGGACGGACACAAATGTCTAGATCGACTCAGCTAGGCGAGATATGACGAACGGTATACTTAAAGTTGGGTCTAGGACCAATATTTCGCGGCGTATCGATAGTATCGATATATTATTTTTTCCGTTCCATTAGTATCTACATATGTTAGTCTGTAATTTGATATTATTGGTTTGTATGAGTGACAAAGAAAAACGATATTTCCAGTTTTTATATGACACCCATATTATAAAAAAATTCTTTTATACACTTTAACACTGTGAAAATGTGCCTCAATGTCGTTCTAGACCCCATGTTTTTTGGACCAAATCCGGTTCAGAAAATTTAGATTTCATCCAAACTTTGTCCATCTTATTATTTCTCCAAACTTAGTTTAAATTCGAAGATGGGGAAAATCGGTCCAATCCTTCTGGAAACTCCACACAGAGACTAGGTCTAAAAGCGGCTATAGTTCATTATCGAACCTTACGTTCTAATTTTTTAACTCGCTATCCTCCGCAGGTAAAATGATTACAACAGAGTCTTAGAACCAAACTCAAATAACTATTTTAATATAAACAAATGAAAAAGCGTTAAGTTCGGCCGGGCCGAACTTTGGATATCCTCCACCAGATATACAGGCAGGTACTTGAAATGAAAATATAGGGAACATACAAAAAATGGACCTATGCCGACATATCTACAAACCGATTATTTAAACAATAGTTTTAATAGAAAATTATACCCTCAGCCTCATGGCTAATTAGTGTGTATACACTATCACACGGTGAAAATGTGCCTCATCGAAATATTGGTTCTAGACCCCATGTTTCTTTGGACCAAATCTGTTTCAGAAAAATTTGATTTTATCCCATATTTTTATGTCTTCCAAACTTAGTTCAAGTCCGAATTTGGGGAATATCGGTCCATGCCTTCTGGTACCTCACACACAGGTGCTACGGCTAAACCTAAATGCGGGCTATAGTTCACATATAGTTCATTATCGAACCGTACGTTCTATTTTTTTATCTCGATATCCTTCGCAGGTGAAATGATTACAACAGAGTGTTATAACCATATAATTATATTAATATAAAAAATGGGGTTATGTGGGGACTACGCCTAAAAGGGGTTGACTATTAATAATTTTTGGTAGGGAGATGTGTTTCCATATACGGCTACAAAATACAAAATTTCTGGGATTTCGGTTGAAAAACGCGCTCAAGAACCCCAAATTGCCGAAATTTGGAGGTACCTTTATATGGGGGCTACCAGAAAAAATTGACTTATATGTATAATTTTTAGTCGAAATATTTGGTACCCAATAAGAACCCAATGTACCAAATTTCAGCGACTTCGGTTGAAAAACGCGCTCAAGAACCCCAAAATACCGAAAATCTGGGGTACCCTTATATGTGGGTCTACAAGAAAAAAAGGACCTATATTCATAATTTTTGTGGAGTGATTTGAAACCTATTAAGAACTCAAAGTACTAAATTACAGCAAATTCGGTGGAAAAATACGACCAAAACCCCCAAAATACTGAAAATTAAGAGGTACCGTTATATGGGGGCTACCAGAAAAAGTGGACCTATATTTATAATTTTTTGTGGAGACATTTAGCACCCAATAAGAACACAATGTACCAAATTTCAGCGAATTCAGTTGAAAAACGCGCTCAAGAACCCCAAAATACCGAAAATTGGGGGTACCCTTATATGGGAGCTATGCTCCCATATTGGAACCCTAATATATACATAAGCAGGATTCGTAATATATATCATTGTCGCAAAATAAATTGTTGATCTATCCCAACAAAACAACAACAAATTAAAAAAAAGATACAAGAATTTTGTTTACATTTTCTACAGAAAAATATCTCTAGAGGGCAATTACTCATTAACACGTATCATATATGCAAAATTTTATGTGTCGTAGAATAAAAATAATTTACAATGCTATTCAACATTAATTAGGGTCACCATCTAAAATGCAGATCTTTTTACAATCATAAATTGCAGAATGAAAATAGTGTACCCATTCTAATAACTGGTGCTTGAGAGCTCAAGTTCTATTAGAATTTTTTGTCGAACATTTTTCTGTGCGTAATATTCGTCGGCAGTTTTGTTGTTTTTCCAAGTCTATTGCAGAAATCTGCACACTTTTACGAATGTGTGTATATATTTAAATATACATATTTGATCTGATTTAAATATCCTATACAACAATATGTAGCAGGAAATTTTATATTTTTGTATGTCACCACCTTCCATTAATATCACTTATACTAAACTATTTAAAATCTCATATCATTCTAAAATCAATGTAAAATTTCATGTTAATCGGGTAGAATATAGACTAAATTACAGGCCATTCATAATTTTAGGAGATATACAACCCTGCATCTACAATTGCAGAAAATTAATATTATCAGATTATATACACCCCTGTGAAGTTTAGGAATTACTCTCGCAACCGAGGACGTACATATATAAACTTTGTATCAATTTAAAAGTTAACCACTCCTCTTGAATATACAATAAACTTTTTGCAGCATGTCCTTCAGGAGTAAATATATACGTTATAGAATACAATGTTGTCATTTACACACAAAAGTCTGAGTCCATTTGACCTGCTAACTATTTCTCTGTGTAAAATTTCTCTAAATAATTAACCGATAATTGCCAAAAACAATGGAGGAATTATACACAGTTTTTATTATTCTTTGGTTTTGACCATCTGAAGAGATGACAGAACAGGTTGCCCTATGGACCCCATCTTCCATTAGCTTTATATTGGATTTATAAGAATTGACAAAATTGACACTTTGCGGGAGAGGAACCCGAAGGAGTGTATGTAATGTTGTATGAAAATATTGACCCTTGGCAAATAAAGCCAGTGAGCGGAGCAGTATAGTCGGACGGGGCCGACCATACGATACCCTACACAACTACCACGGCACTCTAACATTCTGCCGATGTTTATTCTGAGCCTGGGCAATATTTCGTGATATTTGCACCCTCTTGCCCGATTAGAGGTCACTTATTTCTTACACTGAAATATTTTCCGAATATTCCCAATATTTAGTACATTCTTCTAATTACTTGACCAGATTCCCTTAGCCGTGGATTATAATTGTATATATCGAATCGAAAAAAATACAAAAAATAAGTTTTCGGTCCACTTCATCCCAAAATTTGTATCTGATCATCAACGATAATTATAGGCGTTATCCTTGACCATACCTGGATCCTCGTGGACATTTTCAAATCGATCAGCGCTATATATTCGCCCTCTAGTGTGGTAATGGGTTACAAAACAATATCTATATACGTAAGCACCTGTAAATATTTAAGTGTAAATTCTAGATCTGATTACATACGAAAATATAATTGGTATCAAACCAACCAAACCAATTGGTATTAAACCAACCAACCACTCCTCTGGGATATACTATCAACTTCTCGGGTCTATGTCCTTCAGGGGCAAATATATACGCCATATAATACAAATTTTGTATTTTTTCACACAAAAGTCGGGGTCCATTAGGCCCGCTAAATATTGACCAATCTTATTCAAAACAGGCAGGCATACTATCAACTTCTCGGGTCTATGTCCTTCAGGGGCAAATATATACACCATAGACTACAAATTTTGTATTTTTCACACAAACGTCGGGGTCCATTAGACCCGCTAAATATTGACCAATCTTTTTCAAAACAGACATGCTTATTCTTTAGCACGATCCCGTTCTCCATGCAAAATGTTCGGGCCATAATTGCGGCCTCTGGAGCGTCCAGAAAAACGGACAAAAATTAAGTATTTGGTCGATTTCATCCCCTAAATATTAACCAATCTTTACCAACAACAATGGGGGTCTTCATTGGCTAGAACCCATCCTACATGCAAAATTTCGTGAAGATTGGTTCATAACTGTGGCCTGTATCGTGTTTACAAATTATAATGGACAGACGGACGGACGGACGGACACACATGTCTAGATCGATTCAGCTAGTCGAGATATGACGATCGGTATTTTGGGGCTGCACAATGCTATAATACCCTGACAACATAGTTGTGTAGTGTATAAATATTGCATTCACATAGGGTAGTCCGTTCACCAGATATTACAAAACTAATTTTCAGCAACATTTTGACCGTTATGTAAGGGAGGTATCAGACGGACTGACACGACATTCCTCATCTTTCAACTTTATTTAATTTTGGACGAAATCGGTTTCTCCCTTCGAAAGTGCGTCTGCCAATCAGACATTTGCAAATCTACTCCGGTTTGTCCGTAACGAATTTGGTCCAAAGTAAAATGGGGTTCAAAACAAGGTGTATTATCTTCAAATATTATATTAGGTTGTCCCATAAGTTTCTTCCCTTTTCATATGTACCTATGTACCATTGTCTTGGGAATGCTAGTGTCAACCACT